ACAAAGTAACCTCATATTTTATTAAACAAGGACCAGCTGGCTTAACTAGTGAAGGATTAAAAATTACAGCAGAAGAGGGAATGTTTGCATTTCATACTATAGTACATAACCATTCTTTTAAGTCAATGGATTGTACTACTGCTTTAATAAAAAAGTTTTCTTGTGCGCGTACCAAGTGTGAATCAATTATTCTGAATGTATTGGCTCCTTTTGCAATGGATCAAATAATAGACGAACTAAAAGCTGTTAATTTTGCGACGGTTATGATTGGCACTTCAAATCATAAGAATTTAAAAATTGTCCCAATTTTTATTCGATATTTCGATCCTAAAACGGGAGTTCAAATAAAAGTGCTAGAATTCACAAATTTGAAAGGAGAAACTTCGGATATATTGTCGTCATATATTATAGAAATTTTAACAAAACATAAATTATCTCACAAAATTATTGCATTTACCAGTGACAACTGTAATACTAATTTTGGAGGTGCTGCAAGGAGGGGAACAAAAAATGTTTTGACGATTTTAAACAATAATTTAAAGACTAACATTTCTGGAATTGGTTGTGCAGCTCATATTCTGCACAACGCTATGCAAACTAGTACAGATATCTTACCTATTGATGTCAAATATATCGTTCATAAAATATTTCAATACTTTTATATTTATACTGTGAGAGTGGAAGTATTAAAATAATTTTGTGATTTTACAAATCCCAATTCCAAAACCTACTTGGAAGGTAAAGACAAGATGGCTATCCTTACAACCAGCAGTCTCCAGAATTATTGAAATGTATCCAGCTTTAAAATTGTACTTTGACACTCAGGATAAATGCCCAACCATTTTAAAATCATTTTTTAGTGACCCCGTTGCAATAATATGGTTTCATTTTATACAAAGTCAATTAAAAGTAGTTTGTGACACTATAAAAAGAATAGAAGGGGACAACAAATCTGCATGTAAAGTATCAGAAGAACTAGAAGTACTATGCGGAAAAATAAAAAATAGAAAAAAACAAAACTTTTTAACTTCCAGTGTAAACTCGATGCTTTTAGAACTAGAGACAAAAAATAAATACACAAAAAAAAATTTATAGAGCAAACTAACCAGTTTTATGACACATTTTTATTGTATATTGAAAAGTGGGGAAATTCATTTGAAGAACTAAAAATATTTCGTTGGACACAATTGATAAATTATCCAACATGGAATGATATTCAAAAAAGTTTAATATTTATTTTGCAAAATAATAAACAAATCGGTTGGAATGTGGATGAAGATATTCTTTTTGATGAATATAATCATGTAGTTAATGTTATAAATGAAAATTTAAAAGAATGTCAGAATAAATATGTTTGTGTTGAAGAAATATGGTGTGCTATCTATACAATTTTAAATAGTAAAAGTATATTGATAAATAATTTTTGGAATATTGTAGAATATTCTCTAGCAATGCCTGGAACAAATGCTGCAATTGAAAGAGTATTTTCTATCACTAATTTGTTATGGACGGGCGAAAAAAATCGCTTTCTTGTTCCTACCATCAAATCAATTATACTTTTGAAAAATCGTTTCAAAAAATATTCGTGTAATGATTTTTATGATTTTTTGCTTACACAACCAAAACTGTTAAACGCAATCAGTCCATGGCAAAAGTACAGTAACGACACATTTGATAATAAAGGACATGATGAGCAATTGACATCAACCCAATAAAAGTTTTCAAGTTTTGTATTAAAATATTAAGAAAGGTAGTTAAAAATATTTTAATTGTAAATGTAACTATAAAGTATAAAAATATAAAAAAAAAAATATGTATGTTTTTTTAGAGTATTTAAACTAAAAATTATTTGTCCCGTTTTTTTTTTTTTGCAAAACTGGTCACCCTAACTTAAACGTTGAAATTATTATAGATTTAGGTAGTTAAAACAAATGCGCCGTACCGGTCGCATTATGGCTCAGCGTGTAGTTCTCGTCATCGAAATACCGTTGATCGAGCGCGGACTGTCCGCCAAGTCCGACCGAATACTCGACATCACCGCCCAGACAAAAGAGCCCCGGAACTATGTGAAAAAACTGAGATCCCTTGTAACCGAGTGGTTTGTCCCGATTTTGACACAGTTTCAGAAAATTGGAAGCCGTCTTGGGTACGATATCGTCGTACACTTCGATCGTTAGCCGACCCATACGTTCGTCGGCCGTCAAATCGTCGATGTCTAAGTAACATCTGTTAACAATATTGGGTATACAAATAATTAATTATATTATTAATTAAAAATACTAAAACCCGTAAACATAATAATTTTTGTGCCAAGTCCAGTTTAAGAGGACATTGTTAAGGGGTACCGCATATGAAATTTTGTTGACATTGAATTCAAAAGTGCATCGTTAATATAACGGGAACGTTGATACTGGATAGTTATTATAATTTAATGTTATTTGTATTAAAATATTTCTACAGATAGATATTATTAACGGGATTAACTTCGATTTTTTTATTTTAATATTTTTCGGTAATCCTGATTTGGAAATAAGCAGATCGTTTTCGTTTCCCGAATAAATTGTTTTTTTATTATAATCTGGATATTTGCTCGCGAGTAGTAGCCTTGCTTTGTTCGCTTTTTCTTCTTTCTCCATTTCTTGAAAATCGATACGAGGTTTCTATAGGAACAATTATGTTTAATTACAATTTGTTGGTCAAAATGAAGGCGATACAAAATTATATGGAACAAATCTAATTTTTTTTTTATATTGAAGATATAAGGAAAATTATTCTAACTTAATGAAGTTAAAACTGAGTTAATTGATTAAGTTTCGAAATTATAGCTTTTTAAAATTCTGATATTATGCGGATATTATGTTATGTTAAATAAAACTATATTATATCTCTTCAAGCACATTTGTCCTAAACAGGGAAAAAACAATTGTATTTTGGGTGTACCCTAGGGTGGCCCTTATTTTTTGATATTGGATTTTTTTCAGTCTTACCCCCTAAATTGGTTCAAATATGTATATAAATGAAGTATACAAAATTTCATATCGATAGATTAAGTTTAACCCGTGCCCCCCAGCCCTCAAAGTTCAAATATATGGTTCTGTTCAAGTAACCACAGTTTTTTTTAATTGATTGACTGCTATCTCGTTGTTATCATTTCTTATAAAAATAAATTTCCGACATTATTTATAGTAAATTAAATTGTCTATAACTTTTGTTCTATATAGTTTTTTGATTAACGTAATATTTATTAATATAACTGATTATGAAACATGCAAGTTTTTAAAAAGCNATCGCGATGCAGTTCATATATTAACAGCTACTGTAGAAGCGTTAGGTATACGTGTAAGTGATTTAATTTTAAACCGGACATCTATTAATCAAATACGCCAGTGTTTACGTAAGGACAAAGCAGATCAACTTCGAAATGAATTCAATTCATCAGAAGTAGGTCCAGTTGTTGTTCATTGGGATGGTAAGCTGCTCCCAGATTTAACAGGAAAAGAGCTTGTTGATCGTTTACCAATAATTGTTTCTTTTAAAACTTCTGAAAAGTTGTTAAGTGTTCCTAGGCTTATATCCGGAACTGGTAAAAATCAAGCGGAAGCAGTGTTTAAAGCACTTGAAGAATGGGGCCTTATCGATAATATACAAGCTTTATGTTGCGATACAACGGCTTCGAATACAGGTCGTCTAAAAGGAGCATGTATAATTTTGGAACAGCTATTAGAACGTGATATTTTATACTTTCCTTGCAGGCATCACATTTACGAAATTATACTTAGATCTGCATTTGAAGTAAATTTTGGAGTTACATCTGGTCCAGATATTCAAATTTTTAAACGTTTCCAACAATTTTGGCCAAAACTTAATGTTAATAATAATAAGACCGGAATAGAAGATATAATTGTCAGTAAAATATTAAATGATGTAACTAATATTATGTTATTTTTTTATATGGACCAATTGCCCAAATCTCATAACAGATACGATTACAGAGAATTGTTGGAATTAGCTGTGATATTTCTTGGTGGTACCCCTACTCGTGGCATATCTTTTCAATGTCCTGGTGCAATGTATCATGTTCGTTGGATGTCCAAGGCCATATATTCATTAAAAATATTTATGTTTCATAAACAATTTAAATTAAAAAATTATGAAGAAGAATCAATCCGTACAATTTGTATATTTCTTATACAATTATCAATTAAAGCTTGATTTTGTGCACCTATTGCCGCTTTAGCTCCATTTCAAGACTTACAATTTTTGAAAAGTCTCATCAGTTATGAAAAAATACATAAAAACATTTCTCAATCAACTTTAAGAAAACTATGTGGACATTTGTGGTATTTAGCACCTGAAACAGCAGCATTGGCATTTTTTGATCCTAATATAACAATTGAGACAAAAATTAAAATGGTCGATGCTATAAAATTAAATAATTTAACTTCTGAAATCAATAAACGAGTCATTGTGTCGCTAAATGAAGTAGCTCAATTCATGAAGAAAGAAATAAATGATTTTATTTATAAAGAATCTACTTCATTTTTTTCGCGATTTGGAATAGCAACATCATTCTTGGAGCAACATCCATCAATGTGGGATAAAAATGAAGATTTTCAAAAAGGCCTTGAAATTGTAAATACATTTCGTGTTACAAACGATACGGCAGAAAGAGGGGTAAAGCTCATGGAGGAGTATAATATGGTCTTAACAAAAAATGAAGATCAAAAACAATACGTGCTTCAAGTTGTCGAAGATTATCGCCGTAAATACCCGAACAGTTTAAAAAGCACAGTTATAAAACCATTATAATTATTTTTATTTATATACTTTAAAATATAAATGTCATTTTGTAATAATATTATTTAGTTGTTACGTTTTTCAAATGCTTGCATGTTTCATTGTTTCATAATCAGTTATATTAATAAATATTACGTTAATCAAAAAACTATATAGAACAAAAGTTATAGACAATTTAATTTACTATAAATAATGTCAGAAATTTATATTTTTAAGAAACGATAACAACGAGATAGCAGTCAATCAATTAAAAAAAACTGTGGTTACTTGAACAGAACCATATATTTGAACTTTGAGGGCTGGGGGGCACGGGTTAAACTTAATCTATCGATATGAAATTTTGTATACTTCATTTATATACATATTTGAACCAATTTAGGGGGTTAGACTGAAAAAAATGTTATAAAAAAAAATCACCTATATGACGAAGGGCCACCCTAGTGTACACAGAGACCCAAGTCATCACTCGCTCGGATTATTTTAATCGCAAAATACTCCTCGATTTGTTGTACAAACTTTTCTACTAAAAATCTTGCTCCAATGTATCAAGTGTAGCTTATTTTCTGAAATTCTGGACATTTTATCTGCATAGTAATTTGGGAAGGCATTTTTTGATTTTCCCAGTTTTCCCAATAAATAGGAAAAATTGTGAAAACCGGAGAAAAAACGGGAAAATGTACAAAATACATTATCAAAATATTACGATTTGCTTTTTCTGTAGAAAACTTTTCTACCAGAAATTCGGCTTTGATTTACAACGATAGCACTTTTTATAAAAATAAATCTTACTGGGAAAGTACTTCAGAGAGATAATTTTACGATTTTCCTAAGATTTTTCTCAGCAAATGTGAAAAACTAGGAAAATCGATACAATATTAAACAATTATTATTAAAAAAAAATGTATAATGCTTATTTAATTATTTTACCATAATATGACATATATATATATTGTTGACAAAGCATTACTATCAACTGAACTACGCTCAGAATCATTTTTTCGTTAGAAATGATTTGTCGTTACTCACAGACATACATTAAATTACCTATAACATTGGCTGCACCTGACGCCATCATGCTAGGACTTCTTTATTTATTTATTTATTTTTTTTAAGAGATATAATCAAATATTAATAAACATCGTAATGATTATCGGCCTTTCAAAACATAAAACCGAACTTTGCTCCGAATCGTTAGCAATGATTTATAGTTGGTTACAGGTATAAATTAAATATCTTAATGTATCCTATTTTCTCAACTACCCACCTACAATAGTGGCCACACCTGTCCCCAGTACCAGTTTTTTTTTTATTTATATCACTTACTGCATGATAGATTTTATCGAACAATCTTACATTCTCTGCAAAGATTATTTTATTCTTCGCCTTTGTACTTTCCACGATATTCGACTTTTTTTGAACCATCGATATTGGTTTAGAACAATCAGTTTCACCCTAAAACATAATTAATATGTTTTAAATAATTATAAATATAAAAAATATGTTTATAATTACAACACATGGCATACTTTATGACATTTAAACTTTAGGTGAAAATTAAGTTAGAGTAAGCAGTTTTTAAAACAAAATTTAACATCATATTTACCTACCAAATACCGTAACCTAATTTTTTTTGTTTTTTTTTGTTCTTTTAAACTTTGAATTTTTTCCTTGTATATGAATTGCGTACTAGTCCCTCAAATTGCATCCAAGTTGAATTATTAAACATATTTTGTTTTGTTGTTCCCGATGTTTTCCAAACTGATTTTGTAAGTATCTATTATCTATATTCTCGACCCACTTCCCGTTGGTTCATCAGTTTAAAATAAGTTTAAATTAAATATTTCATATTATAAACATATTTATACAGACATTACAAACAGAGGACTATACGGACTGGTATTTACCGAGTTATGTTATGTCAATTTAACTGGAGCGCTTTTTATAAAATAAGTGTATTTAATGTTAATTGAACATTTGAATATAGTACTAGATTTGTTTGTAATTTATTCGCAATTTATGGAATATACAATGGTTTTTATATGCCACATGTATTTTAATTTATTAAAAACTAAGTAAACATCAACTTACATAGAAGAATTGAACAGCAATTAGAAGCATTAAATTGCGAAATTACTAATATGAATTGTTCAATTTTGTCTCAAATAATTTACGTGGACTTCAAAAGCCTATGCACAAAATCATTTTTTTTAGTATTATTCCCCGGTAAACTTTTTAGCTGTAGGTTAATCGTGGCCGGAGGAATCCTTTTTATCTAGAAACTTTATCGCTGATACACCTAGTTTTATTATATTGTATTATTTATAAACAAATGTATAAAACTTTTACATCAAAATTGGTATCTAATTTAAAATATAACAACGGACAATAAATAATATTAAACATGTCATTCTACACTATCCATCCTAACCTATCAATAATTTACAATAACTAAAAATTCAACCTGAGACTTATAAAAAATTTAGAAGTAATGGATTAAAAACAAGGAAAATGTGTGATCCAGAAGCTCTTTCATAAATAACATTAATAGGCTGATATAAAGTTGTAATTATTATGTAACCGCAATTTGTCCGTAGCTAATAAAATTGGACCATAACTCATAGTGATTTAAAGATTGGGCGGTAATTTAGCGACACCGTTTATTATCACTCATTTATAGTTTTTACCTTTTTACGATAAATAATATTGATTGTTTTTATGAGTGTTAAATTTTCATTTTCCATTTGTAATAACCTCTTGGCATTTTTTCCTAAGATTCCAGGCTTGTAAAGCTCACCTACATTAAGGAACGGTGCCTTGTTGTCCACCTTTTGTGTAATATTTTTAATCTAAAAACAATACAAATCATATAATTAATAATATATATTTGTATGTTATGTCTGTATATTAGAGTTTTTTTGTTAAGTGGACGTTATTGACGAATAATATATTTTTTTTAAATAACCAACATTATTTCTATGTTCTTGATACAAATTAAAGTTGATTCGTGTAGATTTTTCTGGGAGTTTACTTTGCATTTTGGTAGTAGGTATTTTCGGAGTAATTTATTTAAAATTTTGTAATTTGTTTTTAATTTTATATTAACAAAAGTATATTTTAATAATAATAGTAGTAGGTATTTATTATTATTGAGAATAATTGCTTTGATATTGTTTATTATAATAATATGATCTGTTTATCCAAAACGTTACTAAGCAATACATTTTGATAATGCAGTATTAATATAATATTATAGTCAAAATTGTAAATACTTTTATAATATTGAAATTGATTTGTGAGAAAAAACATCCGAGAGCTCCATCATTAGAGTCAAAACTTTTTGTAGTTACAATATTTCGTTGTTTTAATAATTAGTCTAAATTAGTTATTTTTAAATTTATAACTGTACATAGTACCCCACTTCGATTTACATATCTGTAAAGTTTAGTGTGTATACAGTATATTTACAGAGCATTTAGACCTGTGCCAGAACATCTTATTTTAGTCCCCAAATTACCCCTTACCTACCCCTTCCGTTACGACATAAAAGATAATATAATAATAAATAAATAATGCATAACTATATTTATAGTTTAATTAACATATAGACTTGGTATTTCAAACCTAAGCAATTATTGTGTTCTTATTTAATAATATCAATACCATTTTAGATTCTAAGTGGAGCGAAGAAGCTTATGGTTTTACAAGCAATAGTCATCCGGTGTCGAACCTACATTTACGGGACAGGGACGGATATCTAAAAAACCTCAGTAACGGGGAATCTCGGGTACAACAGATGGTCCTCGAAATAATCTACAAAGGTCTACGCCGCAATGCGAACGACCGTGGACGAACTTTAACAATAAAATAGACAAATCGTTATGTTAAATATAATAAAACGATATAATAAAAATACCTATATCTACATTTTCTAAGGACCCGGATGCAAGAGTCAATACGTGGGTTATCACCTAACTACGCAACAACAAATTATTGGCGAAAAGCGCGCAATAGACCGATTTGGTCAGAGATCCAGGGTATGTGAGTACAGAGGTACAGAGTGATTTACTAAGTGGGTTCACTCCATTTTTTTTTGTTAAATTTTGTATACATTCAAATTCTGATTTTTGGAATGTTTAAGTGTTAAAGATGATATTTTAAAATACTTGGATTTTTCAAAACCCTTAAGAAGTGTCCTGTGTCAACACCAACTTTGGTTTTTTAAATAGGAATCTATATATTTTAATACAATTTATAAACTGATTTTTCTGAAAATTTTGACGTATTGTAATCGAAATTTAAACGAAAAGTTTCCGAATTATTCTATTTTAAAATATTAAGGATAACGGGGTATTTGAGGCTTGAAAACCGACAGTTTCATAAGAGTTGTGTATAGGCAATTTCTTGATCTACAGTAGAACCTTGATTATCTGTCTCCCGATTAACCGCCTTTCTCGGTTAACCGTCAGGCCACTTGTGTATGAGTAGGTTATAAATAATAATACATATATTTATAATCCGAAACTTTCCGGCAATATCGACTAGATAAGCGATAGGTTTATATGTATATACATATATATATATTTAATGGGTGAGATAAAAACAGTTAATTGCGATAGTGATCGCATTTTGTTCTTGTAAAGTCAATCAGTTATATATTGCACGAGTGTTCGTTCGCTTGAACGTTCGCGTTTTTAGTCTCTTTGTGTGTACAAATATTTTAAGTTTAAAAACAATGAGTGAAAAACGAAAGCGTGTTGTATTTGATTTATCTCAAAAATTGGATATTATTAAGCGTTTACGAAGGGGGGAAAGTGCAGTAAGCATAGCACCAATTTACGATGTTGGCCGAACAACTGTAAATTATATTAAGAAAATGCCGATAAAATCGAAAGACATATCTCCAAACTACGAAATTCTGATGACAATATTACAATCAGGAAAACTATGAAAAATTCGTCATTTAAACAACTAGACTCCGTCGTTTATCAGTGGTTCATACAAACACGTTTTCAAGGAGTGCCCCTTTCAGGACCTAGCATTCAAGTGAAGGCAATGGAATTTCATAAAAAATGAATGGTGAGCATTCCTTTAATGCAAGCACAGGGTGGCTTCACAGATTTAAAAATCGTCACGGAATTCGCCAGTTGGATATTTCTGGTGAAAAATTAAGTTCTGATAGTACGTTATAGAGTATAAAAAACAATTTTTAAACATGATAAAAGCCCGAAATTTGAAATTAAAAAATAATAATAATGTACCAATAAGTAATAGTACCTAATTAACATGCTTTCCAAGTGCTTTGAGTGGTTTGAACAATAAACTAAAGCTGATGCGACTCAGCTATTACTGCTTCGAAGAATTAGAGATATGGCAGCCAAAAAAAGCACGTAATATGTTAAAACAACATAAATTAACAGATTTTTATAATATTAATTGTTAAGTATGTATGTAATTGTTAATAATAAAACATTTTAATAAATTAAAAAATAATAATAATAATATACCAATAAGTAATAGCACCTAATTATATCAATGTCATTTATATCAAATTATATGTATGTCATAATTACTAAAAAAAATAATAAATAATATGTATGTATGTTTAAATTTTTGTTGAACGCTTAACCGTCTTTTCGATTATCCGTCAAAGCTCTGGTCTCGAGACTGACTGAGAGGTTAATCGAGGTTCTACTGTACATGAATATATCGACTAATGTCCCAGGCATGTTATATTGTTATTAATAATAAAATTGGTGTAGTCTATGACGTGTTTGTAGGTATTACCATTAACGGTTACTTGTATTGTTCAGTGACATCATTGTACTTTAGTAGATGCTATTACATTTTAAAAAGATAATAATCAGTATTTAGTATTTACTGTCAAACGGCGATTACCATATAGAAATGAGACAATATGACAATAATTTTAAATTATGTTGAAACTGTTGAAAGATTAACGGTTGGGTTATATTAAATACTTTTAAAAGCAAAATTGTAATCAAATTTGTATTACCTATCGAACGTTTTTAAAATTGTACATGTTTAAAGTTTAATGTTTAATGTCAAATTTATAATTATTAGTATAACTAATATTAGTTCTTGTAAATATTATTGTTTTATACATCACATATTATAGTTATTTTGATAATTAAATCAAACGCATTAGTACGTAAATTACTAACCTATTTATTATGCATCATGTCGGAAGTGAATTGGATACTTGACAAATATATTTGTACAATTAATCGGTAAGTTTTAATTTGGTAGTTGTTTGCATTAAAATAAATAATACCTACATAATATCATATTTAAATTTTGGTTTCATTCTAATGAGTGCCTACCTATTGGCTATTATACCCATTGAAAAAATAGATACTTTACACACATATCCAATTTTTGGATCGTTGATATTGGATATTATTTATATTTCGATACTACATGGCTTGTATAAAAATCAAGTAAGTAGCACCATAGAATTACATTAGAATACTATAAAAATCTAAGACATTTTCTTATTATGGATGATTAGCACTAATTGTGGTTAAATTTACAGCTAACTGACAAAATTCTACCTCTAACCAACTCTTTATATTGTAAGATTAGACTAAGATGTTCCGGCGGGTTGATACAGAATATTTGAAGACCCTATATGTCCAACATTAAAATCATAATATTATTTCATCATATCTATTATAACATAAAAGACAGCCTGCAGTACCTTTAATTAAATTTACAAATAGTTATACAGTAAAAAATTAAAAATATGATTTTTGTATTTAAATAGACAACAAAATTAATAAAATGTGTATACATATATTAACTGTAGTAATATTCTATTTTATAGACAAAATCGTTTTTTTGATAAAGTTAATTTCAAAGAAAAAAAATAAATATTTTTTCATTTTACATATTGCCCTAAATTATCTACCAATGTTTCCACTTTTTATACGTATGTATACATTAAATAATATATTCTTATGTTTTTATTAAATGTAATTTCAATTTTTATATTTGGTTCCAGGCTCACTACCACGATTAAAATTGAAGTTTTGTGATACCCAATTATTATAAGCCTAAAATGTAGGTAATAATATATGACATGAACTAATCCTTTTATTAATTCATTTATTATTCGTAATTAAATAGATAAAATATTGTATTTATTTAAAGGAATAATTTTGTCATACACTGATGTATTTTAATTTTAAATGTTTTTTACGTGTTATTTGAAGTAATAGATATTTTTTGTAAAAGTAAATAGGTATGTCTTAAGTTGCACATTATTTAAGAATCTATATAAAGACAATAATTTTGTTTCTGATTTTAATTTTTAAATCAATTTATTAAAACAATTTTAAAATTATCATGGAAATTAAATATCATAGGTACCAATAAAATCTTAATTTATAGCTATTAAAATTGATATAGTGTGTCACATTAAATTGTATTTAAGCTGCAACGTAATCATTAAGGTTTATATTACATTATTAATGTGGTCTTTATTCGATATTTGGAAGTTATAAGTTTTGGTGGTACGTCAAAATATCTCAGTAACAGTTATATAACAAAAGTTACTTAATCATTAAGTCTTGCTTTTTATACTTTGTATGGACCAAAAAATATTAAAATAATTATTAAAAAAAAAATTATTAACTTAACCAGAAAATTGTTCAAACAAATTATTACACGTATTCCGCACATCAAAATAGTTAACCGTTATTGCCTAATAATGGATTTAATGGCAATACAATTGTTTTTATTTTACCGAAGTTAAAATTTACGTAAATATTTTAAAATTAGTATGAATAAAGTATTAGAAACCCTTAAATGTAATAGGTCACTTTAAAAAAAGAAGTCAAATTTATTCTTATTTTTAATATTTTTAGTTATGAGGCCCAAGGTACAAATATCTTTAACAAGAGATAATTATTTTTTTTATTTCTTGGGTGAATATAACTGTGGAATATATATTTTTAATCCACAAGATTGTTTTTTTGCCATAAACACTGGATAAAATGAAAAGAAGATATCTTGAAAAAAGAGTACCTTGATAAAAATATGGACCTATTAAACTGTCTCTAATATTCCGCATCATACATTAACTCCCCACCTAACTTAAAAGATAACTTTCTCAGTCCAGTGAGGATTGAAATCAGACCTGTAATGTAAATTGTTAAGGAAGTCCGGTTCTTCATCAATTTTGGTGATAAAATGAGCTACCATTTTTATCCTCTTTTCAAAGTCTGTTGGGCGTAAATGATGAACTAATTGAATTTTGTTGTGTAATTTATTTAATTTTGCGATTCTTTGACAGAAACTATATGATATTCCAGTTTCAGCTTAAATAAATAAATTGTCAGTTTGACTAAAGTTATTTATATTGCAATATGTATGTTTAATTATTTTGATTTATTGCTATGAATAACTACAAATAGCTTGTGATAGTAATATTATTTTCATTTAAGATTTTTAGGTCTTAAACAATTTATATTTTTTTTATTTTTTTTATATTACCTTGTAAAACTAAATTTTTGTATGTCTTTACAAAAATAAACCGGGTGGGTATTGTATGAACGTTGCTATAAAATTCAGTATTTAACTTAACTGCTGCTACGGCAGCATTATTATTACACTATATGTAACAATTAGCATATCTACATTTTCAGCATTAGAAAATAACATGGTTTAATTAAAACAAAAATGTTTAGACATTTGTGATATTACTAATATTTAGTAGAAAAGATGATCTAATAAAATCAAGTGCAATAATGTTATCAAGGTACCTTCATACCTCTGAGAGGATGAAGTCATTAATATTTCTTCCAAAGTTCTTCAAATAAAATACAGCTGGGTTTTAGTTATAATTCATTTTAACTTTTGTATGTTTTTTTTTTATACTTATTGTATAATTTATTAATCTGCTGGTAATATTAATGTTTGTATTAAACAATTTTTATTTTTTATATTAAAAATATATTGTTTTTTTTTTCTTCAATTTTATTATTTAAAAAAAAAATGTGTTTATTTTATATTTTAATGTTTAAAAAGGATATTATTTAATGAATTATGTAACATAATAATTGTTTTGGATATCATTATAAAATTATAATAATCATTATTATTTTCATCATTATTTTTTTATATTCACTATTGCTATCAATAAATTACATCAATATGAAAATACATTCCTTAGTTAATCTTTGTGATAATTTAAATATCCTCAACATAATTAAAAGTTATACATTTAAGAGTTACATATTGAAGTTTATTAGTCATTCTTGATTCATTAGTGTTAAGTGAAGAATTGTGAATAAAATAAATTTTTAGCCAAATTTTTAATTTAATTTATTTTTCAATGAAATTAAAGTACCTTAAATAAAACAAAAGGGCCTTTAATAAAATTAAAGTAAAATGCCTTTTCGTCTATCTATCACGTCTGTCTATCGTCTATCTAGTTAGTTTAATTTTGACAATAAACACGGAAAACACCACTGATATTAAAAAATATATCTTAAATATAAAGATATAAGTAAAATGCTCATATCAGAAAATCAAGAATTAACACGGGTAATATAATGTTATAATTATTTTATTTATTGATATTACATAATTATAAAAATACCACATTAAAAGCTATAACAAAAAAAATAAAAACAATATATTTTTACTGCTTCAAATGGTCCAGAACTCGAAATATTAGTCTTAATTGGTTATGTTTTAATTAGTCAGAATTTTTAACCAACTGAAACAGAATTAAATAAATTTTGAATTGAATTGAATTCATCAATTGAAAATTGAATTTTATGCTTTTTATTTTAATAACAAAGTATACTATACTGTATTAATTTATGTTTTTTTTAAAAAAATCTTTAGATTGGTTAAATGACTCACAGTTAAATCCATCACAGCTACTTTCAGTTCCTTGTAATTGGTTTCCCCTATGTCTTTTATGATCTATTTCATAAAAGGTGTTCTTGGTCTACCTCTTCCAGCTTTTCTTTCTATCTTTCCTTCTATTTTTGTCGTTATCCATTCATTGTTTCTCATACTATGTTCGATCCATTTTTCCCTCTTTTCTCTGACTATTTTCTAACTTCCTCATTTTCAACTTTCTCTGGCCAAGGAATTTTCAGTGTTCTTCTCTAACACCATGTTTCAAATGCTTTAATCCTTTTTCTTTCCGTTTTGAGTATCGTCTATGAGTAATATCTTAACCTTCATAGAGGGCTAGAGTAAGTAGGTTATTCTTCTTGTATAATGCCTGTTTTGATTGTGCTATTCTGCTCTTTATGTCCATCTCGCTTTCATCATATGTTACTTTGCTTCCCAAATAAGTAAAACATTTAATAGTTTTCAGCTTCTCATTTTCAATCTTTATGTTCGAAATCAACTCTTGTTTGCTGCATATTAATATTTTTGTTTTGCTATTATTTATTTTCACTTTATGCTAGTAATACTTTATATATTACTAAGCTATCACAGATTAAATTATTTTCTATTTCGATCACTGTTCATTTTTACATTTATGCAAATAATGTAGATAAGTCATTATTATTTTTATAAAGTGGAACATTTATAACGGAAATATGAGTTAAAGAGTGACATTCAAAAAGAAAATGCAACTCTCAATGATATTGAGGACAAATTGGTAATTTAAATAATACCTAGTTCAATAAATTTATTGTTAATTTAAGTAATAAGTAAAAGTAATTTTTAAGTGATACAGAGTATCTCACCATGTTGTATGGATTATTCTAGACCTGTTAATATTTGATTTTGTTTTTTTTCTTCAATCGGGTTTTCTTTAAGGAGAATATTGATTAGGAGAATAATTATATTTTATTTATTTACTTTACAAAATTTTCAAAAAAGCCATTTTGAAAAAGATATTATTCTTAAAATGTTACTGTATCATTCTAGAAAATAGGTATTAAAACAAATAATATATGGAATTACCGTTAATTAATTTGAAATTAAATGCTTTAACCCCAGTTTTCCAGATATTAAAGTTGTTAATCGGATATTAATGTGTGGTACATTAAAATTCTTAGAATAATTGTTGAAAAAATGGTTGTTTTGAACATTTTTTTGTTAACAAATTAAATTTTCTTTTGTGTGGTGTGTGTTTAGGGAGTGAAAATAGAAATTTAATTTTTCTCTAAAAATCGATGCTCCCCCTGAAGAAAAAACAGTTAAAAAAAAATTGTATGTTAACAGCTTTAGAAAAATCCGTACAACCCTGTATAATTTAAGTGAAGTTCATAGTTTAGTTATGTAAAAGTAATAGTTAGGTTTTAAGCATAATTCAAGTTGAGTAATAATTTATTTTGTGACCTAAACTAATTTATAGAAGATCCAAACAGATAAATTGCTTCTTTAAATAAAACAGTATAGAAAGAAAATAAAGAATTACAAGAAACTTTATCTGTGGTCCAAGAATTGAAAAAAAACTCTCAATTCTGACATGATCTCAATGACACTGAAAATAGGAATTTTTTTATAATTATATTTTTTTTCTTTTTTTTTTAAACCAGATATGTTGTATTAATGGCAGAAAGACGGGCTTTTGGATAAGCACACTATATCACCATTATGTATAATGGAGTATAGAGAAAATAATCGGCCAAAAAACGATAATGTTACGGACATTTCAATTTTTTGCAAGTCCTCAAGAACAACAACAAAACACATGTTCTATGTTGTATCAGACAATGCGCAATGAAATGTAAATTATTAAGTAAACAATATTGTATTTATTACAAATCTATTTGTGTATCTACACAATGTATATTGTATAAATGCGGTGAGCATACTTAGAGAATCACCCTGTATATTCTATAATAAACTAATATAGACAATATTATTATAAAGTATACAACTATTAATAAAATTGATTATTAATTTTCAATTATCTAATTTGTGTTCCCCATTTTTTGTGTTATTCATTTGGATGACCAACAGCGAATAAGCCACTTTGAAAACTCATGTGTCTTTTCAACAGAATCATATAAAGCAAAACTATACTATATATCGAATTAGCCCACTATGGTGGTTCTAGCTACAGCTATTACTACGTTATTTTCAGTTTTCTTTTAGCTGTATACGCATTTTTTGATAATATTTTTAGAAATGTAGAAACGATATTTTAAGGAAAAACACGTATCTACACGTATGGTATCTTATCAAACAGTATGATGCAGTAAGTACACCACATGTATAACAACACATACTTCAACTAAATATCTCTAATAACCTTATTTTAGGCTTATTAGAATTAGTTAGACTTTATTTTACCAGATATGCGTTTTGTGGTTCCAACTTCACGTAGCATCACATAAAAGCACAAAGTTGCCAAAATCGGTCTCAAAATACTGACAATCACATTGTATATTGTATTTAAACTGTGTAATATATTTTACAAAAGTTTTAGAATATATAAGTTATGTTAGTAAAATTAAAAATATTGAAATATAATTTTTTTATTGATATTTGTATAGGATTATATTCTTAGCATACATAATAATTATTCAAATTTATTTTTTAGTTTTATTTTCTTGTTTTTTGACCGATCGAAAAATCAAAATTATTATTTAAGATTTTTAAAAATATTAGATAAGGATCTCGAGTTAAATCTATGGCCGGTTTCGGATAGAGATTTGATTATGTCATTTTTAAACAAGTCTAACATAGAATCACATCCATCACCGCTGTTGGAAACATTTAACAGAGACGATACTAATTCTTTGATGTCACTTTGGTCCGGAGCCTGCGAATAATATTAAAATATATGAATTTAAATAATTTACACAATGAATAGGCCTCTGTTGTAATGGAAAGTTTGGTGTTATATGATATGTAGTAATTTATATTATATACTGAAAGTAATGTTAAATCATTTCAATAATAAAAAAAAAAAATGAATCTTATTAAAAGCAATGGATTTTTTCTTTTTTTTAAAATCTAAAATATAATATAAAATAGGTACCCACCATATAGTTTTTGAGGCAAATAATTAATGTGTTGTATACGGTTTCCATGGGCAATTTCAGACAATGATTTTTGTTTAAATGATCATCATCAGCTGCAGAAATATCTTGTCGATCGAGTATATTTTGATCTGTTAATAAACTGATAGCTTTTATCAAACCCGTTGTCGAATTGTTGTCTTTGCACAAGGCTAACAACATGGCTATGTAATCAAATTTGCCGTCATCAGTCGAAAATATCATAAATAGTAAATCTTTAATTTTCAAATCTCGTAAATAAATCGAAGGACTGGACGGTAATTTTTTCTCATACCATAACAGCACAGAATCGAATCCATCTCTGTCTATGGTGCCTAAAAACAAATATATACAATTGTTTGAAATATTAAAATTGTAAATTGTAATTATATTAAATTACATAAATATTATTATAAGATTGCACTAAATAATTAAATCAAAAATTATTGATATTGGGGAAGGGTGCAGCTACTGTTGTAGATGGGAAATTGGAAGGTAGGATACATACAATTATTCAATTTATATCTGTATGTAAAGATAAACCGTTGCTAACGAAAAATGAAGCTTCGAAGCGAAATTTAGTAAGACATATTTTGAAATTCCGTAATTCTTACAATTTTTATCAAAATTTTATCTTAAAACCGTTTATGAAAAAAAACTAATACTTGAAAGCCAAATTTGTTTTTTAGACCTGTTACGTGTCCACACGCGCATTCCGTAAACAACGTGTGCGAGCCGTATACAGTAATATTCCTCATACATGAAATTGAATACCCAATGCCGTATTTTCTAGTAAACACTATAAGTTAGTACTTACGGCGGCAAATAATTTTTAATATTACATTTTTATTATATGTAACTAGAACTAAAAAATGCAACTAATTATAAAATGTTTTTATGACCAACGGAATTATGGTAATATTTATATTTTCTGTTTTCCAATTTTAAAATCGTAGAGTTTATCGCCCTATTTTATAACATTGCTGCATTATTTATAAAGTTTCTGTTATCATGTTGTATATGTACGACTTGACAACATACAAATGGATACGACGATCGTAAAATAAATTATTAATATAACATGGGTTGAGGATTGTGTGTTTATCTGTACCTAATCATATCTGCACTGTGTCCTTATCACAAAATATAATACTTAATAAAAACCCAATCATTAGTTGATGCAATCGCGAACGAGCTCATGTGGTATGTTCTATAGTATTATAGTAACGTACTATGTGTTCACAGTTAATTTTTTTAGTATAGATGAAGTTCACACTTTCCTAATTTGTATGATATTTGATTTTTTTTTATTTTGATTTGTGACTTTTTTAATAAAACTAGTAAAATGAGTAACGGTCGTTCACGTTTAAGTGGATATAAGTATAAAAAATTACGGAAGAAAAAAAAATAAACTAAATAACCTAGTGCGAAAAACCATACAAATCGATTCTTTTTTTAATAATCCAAACATTATTTCAAATTAAGTTGACACTATACAAAAAAACGCTCACTAGTTGTTCAAACTCGGGTACCAGACATCACTACGGACATCACTTATATTCAAAACGTCACATTCTCAGAAAGTTTTTCAAATAATACTATTGAAAAAGATGATGTACCAATAGTCGATTTAATCAGCAAGGATCCTGCAGAATGGGTAATTAATGATTTGACAATTGATCGCTTATTACTAAAAGAAATAAAACAAAATTTGACTATGATTTATTGTTAACAAAATAAAAGTTTGGAAATAAAACGTGATATTTAAAAAAAGTGTATTTTATCGGAAACTTTTAAATGGAGCTTCAACAACAGCTTCGAAAATGTTTAATTTATTCTCATAATAAAAACGCATTATTTTGTATTCTCTGTTGAATGTTTGGATGTTCTACCAAACTTGCCACAGACGGTTTAATGGACTGGAAAAATGTTATTAAGGTTGTAAAATAACGTGAAGTCTCTAACGAACATACTAACTGTCAAATAGTATTTTTACATAGGAGCAATAATATTGGGAAAATAGATGCCTTTGACATTCCACAGGGTTGGCTCCAAGGACAGACCTCTGCGGAATGAAGGGCTACATTTTGTCGGGAAATATTTTTTACCAAACGAAGAAAACATGCAATCACGGAGTGCTTATGATGAAATCATACACGAAAAAAAATAATGTGGTGTTGGTAAATAGCTGATTCATTTTTAGTTGGATATGCTATATTTTAGGTAAAGTTGTCTATTAGCCACCATAACTATTTTAATTAAGTGTAAGTATGTACTAGATGAGTATAGGCAAACAAATATTTATATTACAACTACATTAAGTTCAATACAAATCTAAATATAATATTTAATACATTTAACCACAAACGAATAGGTAGACGATAAGTCAGCTATTGAATTTGGGTTAAAATAATAGTTAATCGTTTCTATTTATAAGTTTCTCGGTCTCCCAAGAAGCGTGAAAGACTGTTACCGTATTCCTTGCAACTATTCTCTTTTAAATGCCCACTACCCGCACGTTAACACTTCCTATTAAATTTGTTTTCCGTTGCCTAACAAACACTAAATGCAACTTTGTTATTACTTATTTGTATTTTTGGTTTGTGCCGTACCGCTGTAAATCACGTTTATTAAAACACCTATTTAGGTGATTATTATTAATTATCATCAGCGATCAATATTATTATTTGTATAAATTAACCTGCCAGCTGCGAACTGTTGATTGCACGAGTAAGCTGTTGTAATTATTTACTTATTAAGCCAAAGCTTCTGAGAAAGGTAAGTAAAATAAATAAAGTATATTTACCTATTATTTTTAAATGACTTCTCAGTCATTTTGTTAAGCCTAGTTTACACGGTGACACTATAGTAAGTTGTATGACATATTTTTGATATACGGCACTAGTATGTAAGTTAGTTATATTAATTGTAGGTTTTGTGGGGCCCTGGTACGAAAAATTGTATAATGCACCTGTATTTGTATTATATATTCATAGATAAAAGCTTTATTTATACGGGTGTAAATTGTTTCCACATGGTCCATATGAATAGGTACCAACCTTTATAATAGAACTTGTTTTTTAAACTGTAATTTGAATATTATGTAGAATTACAATCAAACTATATAAGTCTAAAAATCATCAGCTTAACTAAGTTAAAATCGTGATAAGATGGTGATTTTTTTTATCATAAACCAGCAATTATCTCAGAGGATTTTGAGTGAATTTGATTTCTGTTTTTTCTGATCATTATGAAATCGTTTAAGCTTTATTTTAAAACAATTTTTAATTTTTACCCCTACACCATATACCTTAAATAAGTGCATACTTTTAATTTTCAAAAAGGAACCACCTCTTTTGAACACAGATTTGAATAAAAAATATTTTTCTAGACATTTTGATATGCATCACACTAATATCAGATTTACTGTTTATGAATTATAACAGTTTAAAGTTTAGACCGGATGAGTAGGGAAGGGTAATAAATTGCCTATCTAATAATATTATAACAAAATGTTTATTATAATTTTCATTATTTATTTTACAGAACGTTGCTCAGTTAAAAGAAATTTACGATAAAAAAGAAACTAAAGCTAATAAATATGGATTAACTGTTTAACCATGTGTAACTTTGCCTTGCCCTTATCCGAATAATGACCTAGTGATAATAGAGTCATATGTTGTTATTAACAAATTTGTATATAAAATTGAAACACTTCTAAAAGCTGTAGATATCTGTTTCAAGAATTTGTTTGTTCTTAATTTAAATGTGACCATATTTGGGAATTCGTCCAGAAGTTCATTTATAGCATAAACACAAACAATGACAAGTAATATCACTTTGTCGATAATACAATAAATGATGTCAAGTACATACAAAATGTATGTAATTATATTATACATGAATTATACATGTACAATTATACATGAAAACATATTAACATCGTCTGATAAATTAAATGGGTTTTTACGGAAAATTAATCTTTGGATATCACACGTAGAAAAAAAACAACTGCAAATGTTTCCATTAACAGCAGATGTTGATCCAGATGGGGAAGTAACATCTGATTTGATAATAAATCATCTCATAATTTTAAAAGAAAAAAAGAAAAATTACTTCCCATCTTTGCCTATTAACGAATATGATTGGGTGCGGAATCCTTTTGCTGTAACATCAGATGTAATATCACATCTAGGATTAGTTGAACAAGAACAACTTTTAGAACTTCAATCTGAGCGTTCATTGAAATTAAAATTTAATGAACTTAAACTGTTCCAGTTTTGAAGTTTTATTAAAACAGAGTATCCGATAATTACAGAAATTGCAATAAATATATTATTACCATTTTCTACAACATACCTCTGTGAACTTGGGTTTTCCGCTCTAACAAATATTAAAAATAAGAAACGTGAACGACTTTTATCAGTTGAACAAGAAATGCGAGTGTGTTTATCGTCGATCCCTCCTAGAATTGAACTATTATGCAAACAACATTAAGCACACGTTTCACACTAAAATTTATAATTATATCTTTTTTTTTGTAATTTTAAAGTTAATTTTTATATTAATTATTTTTATTTGTATTATATATTTTAATATTTTGAAAAAAATCATTTTACGTTTTTTTATAACAAAAAATTCAAGTTGTCGCGGCACACCACTCAAATTTCACGGCACACCCTTTGGGAAACACTGGCATAGCTAATAGAATGCTACGCTTCAAATTTAAAAATAATTTTGCATTTAATTTAAGCAGTTTTTTTTTTCTAAGGTGGCATTTTGAATTTTTGTAAAAAAAATTAAATTTTCTATCTGGAACAAAATGTCTCCAAAACGAATTAAAATGTCCTGTTAACAAGTAGTCTAACCTTCAACATGAATTTGATCGGAATTTTTTTCTTGTATTTTCTTCTGTCTTGCGTATTGTTTTTTAAGATCCAACAAATCGTTGATTCCAGGATAAGTAAGTTCCAAACAGTGCATTACAAAATCGGTCCAATCAATATAGTTTACGTTAAATCCAAACATAGAACGCAATACCAGAGTAGTCATATTAAACGAACTATATAGATTAAAATATTGAACCATTTGCATAATACTACTATGCATATATATGTATATATTCATTTGTATTATTTTATAATAATAAATAAACTTACTCGATTTGGGGAAAATATTTTACGGAGTTTGTTAGCCAGTTGGAGAAGTAAATTATCGGAATGCGTCTATCTGGACAAATCGTGCATAATTGGTTTGTGACTATTTCCAAATCTGCAACTTTCACGACGCATAAATCGTCGTCTGGCTCTAAAAGTGGAAACGGTTGTGATGGCTGATGTTTCGGATTTAATATGTTCTCAGGATTCAAATAAAAATAATCGTCATCCAGTATAATTTCATTACGAACGACTCTTCTCTCTTGAATAGCGGTTTCAAATAAATTACAAATACGTTCGATTCCGATGAGCTCGTGTTGTAAACGATTGTCTATTCGTTGGTTTATATTGGATCGATACTCAAAGAAAACACTTTCCATTTCCTAATATTACAGAACGAATAAACTCAATTTAAAGGTCTCATATATTTTTTTTCACAAAATATTAATTAGAAATAACTCATAATAATAAGCTTGTTTTGAAAAATTAGTGAACATATCTCGTGAATTTAATCTCATGGTAATTTTGGTGGAAATTATTATTGATTTCATATATTTCATCATACTTATTTAATTAATTCGTTATATCTATTCTATCCAACAATCCAATACAAATCTTGGAAGGATAATGATTACAAATACCCCTTTTCGATGATAAATCATCATATAGTATTGATCCTTTGTATTCTCTACTTATGTTGATTCCTATTAGACAAAATTTTCAACCATTATCAAATATGAGATTTTCAGAAACTTTTTTTTTCTTACGTAATTTTAGTAAAATCTCATACGTTTTGCCTAATCTTCTTAATTTAATTCATTCATCTTTTCAAGAGCACCTAGATTTCTCAAAAAAGTCACTTTTACAGAAATCTACCTCCCCTGTAATAAAAATATTAAACTTTTAAGTTGTACTTATAATAATTCACCTTAATATCTGTTTGAAATCTGGCTGCTATCAACTTTAACTGATAGGCTGATCTCCAATTTTCTGCTTCCACCAATGATTTCCATATTTTTAAATAAACGGAATTAAGATTCTCCAACGATTTCATATTGTTGGCTTCCTTAGTTTCTTCTAGCCATTCGGACGTTGTAGTAAATATAGCTTTAACTTTACCGGCAAATAGTTGTACAGTGCCGATAAACTTCTTAACGTTTTCAGAATTTTTGTTCGAATTTTGTACCACATTCATTTTCGATGGAATATTTTTATTCAGTGAGACTTCAATTTGTTTTGGAATTATCGATATGGGTATTTCTTGGTTATATAATTTAGACATATACGAGTTAATGAAACGCAATATATTCACAGTGCGATCGATCTATATAATTGATTCTGATGTAAATGTCGATTTATAGAAAATAGCATAGTATAGTAATATTATACAATATAGTTATAGGATATAGTGTAATTAATATTTTATTATGTATGCAGTGATAAATCATTGCAATTGAAAATCGATTCTGAGTGAAATACAATCTTTTGATAAGTTGAAATTGAAATTATAACCATAAAATCATTAAAATTGTTCTTATTTTTAACGAATTTTATCTTATAATAGGAAACTCGGATTAAAAATGCAATAAAAAAATAATTTTAATATTTTTCTATTGGAGCAATATTTATGGTAGAAAACTTAAGCCGTAAAAATGTAAAATAATGAAAGCATAACACCGTATATTTCTCAGTTTTTATTTTACGTTTTCTTCTGGTTTTCCTAATTATTAATAAAACCAAGAAATTCCAAAAACGAATAACTTATTCATAAATTAAATTAAAAATGCAACGAAAAAGTTCTCTTATCGTTTATCTATTAGAGTAATAGTTATGGTAAAAAATATAAGCCGTAACAAACAAACAAACAAACAAAAAAAATCTATGGATAAGTTGTTAAATATTATAGGGAAAAAACCCAATCAAGAAACACCAGTATACAGAGTGTATCCAGTGAAGTGTTCAATGATTCAACAGAAATAGTTGATGATGACTTCGTAACACCAAAAAAAACTACCAAACGTCATCTCTCTACTTCAAAATCCGACGACCAAGAGGCAAATAAAAAAAAAATGTATATTTGTAACTAAAAATAGATTCACCTTATTTACCAATGACCGAACATATCCTACCCCCTGATCATCACAAACCCCCTCCAATACTGTAAACTCCGAAGATGCACCAAGTAGAACAAATTTACCTCCTCCAATAATAGTCCGTGGCATCCTTGACTTTATTGGTTTCCGAATAAGCTTCTAAGGCTAATTGGTTCAGAAAACATTTTTTTTAAAATCATCGACTAACGATTTACAAATACAAACAACTAAACCAGACCATTATCGAGTCGTTATCCACTTCCTAAAAGAAAATAAGGCGCAATACCATACTTACCAACTAAGAGAAGAAAAATCCTATCATACTGTCATCCATAACCTGCATCCATTTACACCAACGGTTGACATAGGAATAGCCATCGAAGAAAAAGGATTCACAGTACGCCAAGTGACAAATTTTATCCACAAGACTACAAAAGATAAACTACCTATATTTTTTATCGACCTCGAACCGGCAGAAATAAATAAGGAAATTTTTAACTTAACATCATTACTCTACACAAGAGTAAAAATTGAAGAACCACACATAAGGAAAGACATTGTGCAATGTTTTAACTGTCAAGAGTATGGCCACTCCAGAAAATACTGTGCCTACCCACCGAGATGCGTTCGCTTTAGTGAACACCATTCATCAACCAGCTGTGTGAAAACTAGAGACACACCTGCCACATGTGCCCTGTGCAAAGGAGACCACCCGGCCAACTATAAAGGCTGCCAAATCTACTAATAAATTCAATAACTTCGATCATCATCAAAAAGACAAGGTACTCACTTAAAAAACAATCAATATATAAATAAATCAAATAACACAAATTGTAAAATCACCCAGCAACCAACGCTCGTAGCTAATCCCTTCTCACTACCCCCTCGTTCTTACGCTCAAGCCACAAATAACCAAAACCTGCATACTCCCCCTGTAGATCAACCTAACGATCTCGCTCTAACTAACTTTATTAATGAATTTAAAGCTCTGGTAAATCCATTTTTATCACTCCTCACCACCGTCCTTGACCGCCTACTTTCCCAAAATGTCAAGTAATTCATTCACTTCACAATCCTTAGTCATCCTATTACGGAATGCTAACGGCCTTACAAACCACAAAAATTAACTAATAACACCTCTAAACGAAAAAAGAATCGATCTAGCTATAATTTCAGAAACCCATTTTACCTCCTTTACCAAATTCTCAATCCCCGGTTACACCATAATCCCAGCAAACCACCCAGATAACATGGCCCACGCAGGTGTAGCGATTCTCATCAAGTCACCCATATAATTTACCCCCCTTCCCAGTATAAATGAAGACTTCCTCCAAGCTGCAGCTATAAACATAAAACTAAATCATGTGCAATTATAGTGGGGTCGTATTGCCCGCCAAAACACAAAATTACGCAAACACAATTTGAAAATTTCTTTAACTCTCTTAGTCAATAGTTCATCATTAGCGGCGACTTAAACGCTTAACACCAATCATGGGGTTGCCATACAGCTAACCAAAAAGGACAATCTCTACTAAAAGCAGTCAATAACAAACAATTATCTATCCTTGCCCCTTCTAACCTAACATACTCGCCATCATCACCAAGGAAACGTCCTGATATTCTAGACATATTAGTAGCTTAAGTACCGTCAAACTTAAACTACTTGGTAAAAACTTATTAGATCCGTTTCCGATCACTCTCCAATCCTCTTATGCATAGATGCCTCTCCCCACCTTCAACCTAGTAATCCATCACTAATAAATGGAATAATGAATTGGGAACAATTTCGCGACATTAAAAACCAAAGTATAAAATTAAACGTACGTCCGAAATGTCCAAATGGTATTGACGACGCAGTACTTAATCTTACTCTAATCATTCAGTCTGCTACATGGAACTCTACGACCCAATCAAAAAAAAATAATAACCATAACTATTTATCGATTCCTGCACATGTCCGTGAACTAATAACCCAAAGGCGACGAGCCAGGGCCCGTTGGCAACGAACAAAACTCCCATCCAACAAAAGTACTTACAATAAACTAACCTCGTCACTTAAACGTATACTTCAACAAATAAGGAATGAACTTTACAATAACTGGATCTCATCCCTAACGACAAAAGACAACTCGCTCTGGAGAGCAACACGTAACTGCTTAAAACATAAGCCTACCCTAACTGCTCTAAAAAAACCCGATGGTACATGGTGCAAATCAGATAAAGAGAAAGCTGAACTTTTTTGTTCCCATCTCTTAGAAGTCTTCAAGCTCCACTAACCAATTGAAAACAGTTCCTTCACATCTTTAAGTAAGATATAAATATTTTTAAATTGTACTATTTCATATACTCTACTTAGACGTTATTCTCGTTATCCTCTTAATAAACAGAAAAAAAACCACAAAACGATATTACAAAACATGGTTTAGTTTGTCAATTTATCATGGTTTTCTAAAAAAAGCCATTCTAAAAAAAACTCACTCAGTGACCCTAAAAAACCCATTATATTTTATTAAATTAATGAATACATTTTTTTGAATTTTTAAAAATTGTTTTCCTTATTGAAGGTGAAAAAGAAAACATGTATATTACTTAGTTATAAATTATTACTCACCTATGTTCTAAATATATTAAACAACTAATATATAATATAACTAATTAACTGATTATGATACAGGATTAAACTTTTAGGAATTTGTAATAGGTCATTTTAAAATATTTATAAAAAAGCTATAAAGTTTAAAAGTTATAGAACAAAGTCAAAAGTAAAACAAAAATATTAATTTTTTTGTGGGTTATATTATGAAGATAGTGTTTTTTTTTTCTAAATAAAACCCATTATAACCCACTCTAAAATAATTTAATGAAAAACCCTAGCTGATTTTGGGTTGTTTGAGTTTTATGGTAAAATACCCAAATTAACCCAACTTGGTTAAGTGATTCTTTAAAATCTTTAGTAAAATCACTTTGCTCAACATCTTAAATAAAATATATGATATATCCAAACCTCGGTTTGTAGTATACATTTATAGACCATCATCATCGAGTTGCATTGTTTTTCAAGCCAACTCTCAGTATTGTCATTTTGTACATATTGTTTACATTTGTCGATTTTTTGATTGGTCGATTGTATTAAAATAACTTTTGCATCAGAAACGACCAAAAGCGATTGTCTTGTTACATCTGGAATTTCCAACGCGTAGGTGGGTATATTATACAAATCGGTTTGTAATCGTTTAATGAGTTCTAATTTTTTGATATTTTCTTTGCATAGTATTTCTTTCATATATTTGCTGATCAAAAATACGTAAGATTCTTGTTCAGATAAAAGTAATCGTATGTGAAATAAACATTTTTCCATTTTCTCGATAAATTCGTTTTCCAATACTTTCCAAAAGTTCCCAAAAATTACTCCAATATTACCGCTAAGTTGAACATTGAACATTGCTGATTCTACTTCAATTACGGTATTTGGTATATTCTGGATTGAGCCGAACATTGTATTTGTAAACATATCAGACTTTATAGCGGTTAATTGATCGATAAAATCGAATTCCGATTTACCATGCCTTCTTTCTCTTTTAGGAATAGTATTTTGTAGTTTCGACGAAATTAACGAATCAATTTTAGGAAAATCAGTTTTAAGTGAATCTGTTTTAAGCAAATCGCTTACTATTGACTGCGTATTATAAACACAATTTATCCAATCGATTTCTTCATTCCAATCCACAATTTCGCCGGCTAATACGTCACAGAATAATTTAATTTTACGACTATCAAAGTTTAGATTTTTCTCAGTTATCTGTAATAATGTTAATACTTTTTGGGATTTGTAGTACTTGCATGTATCATCGAACTTTTCATTCAATGGATTTTCACTGGATAAAATCTAAAATAAGTGATTTATAAAATATTAATTTTCAATATCTAAGTAATATATGTATATTATCAGTGATGGTCAAATTATTTTATTATTGCCCCCCCCTACCAAAAATCATCCATACCCCCCCNCCATCCCCCCCCCCCCGATAAGGATCATTTTTAACGATTATTTTACGATAGTTTTTTTTTTTTATAACTATTAAGATATAATATATGTACAGTGGTTGTCGCTTAATTTAATCACTTTGGTATGGGACTGATAAGATAAACCAACTAATAACACTAAACGAAAGTTAAAAAAAAATTAAAACACACCGTTGCCGCGATCGGCATTGTCAGTATACGAGAGTATGCCTTACGGCTGACGGTTGACAACCTAATTGGTTACACATCGTTGCAATTGTATATTAATTTATTAAGTTTTAAAAAATAAACAATTATACACAAGCAGTAATGTTCAATGCTGAGACAAATTTTTTATTTACACCAAAATTGTAGCAAGAAGCAAGTTTACAATGTTACATGATATAACATTGCACTGACAGTGAGCCGGTGCATTCATACACATTTTTTATAACAATACAAATAAGGTAAATAGATAAATAATAACAATGTACATATTATATGTGGAAAAAAGAAAAATATAACCACATTCAGTGAGCGCATAAATACATTTTTTTTTTATAAAATATATATGGTAAATAAATATATAAATAAAAATAAAATAAATAAATGGATTAATGAGTCACTTGGAGTATTATGATAAGTGTATTATACGACCGGTTTCGAACTGAAAATTCATCATCAGGTATATCACAGTTAAAATGTAAAATGTGACTGAATATATAAAATTAAATGAAGGAATACGTAGAAAAAAATTATTCAAATTGGTCATTTTATATAAAATATAGAAATAATTTGTTTTATAGGAGAGATTAATTAAAATTAGTTATTATTAGACATCGTATGTTAAGAAATATAAATTATTTGGTTATTATTTATTATCTTAAATATATTGATATAAGATATTTTTTTTAATATCGGTTTGAACATTTAAAATACTATTAAATTTTTTTTCTTTATTTCATTGTGTATGTGTAATTCTTCTAAAACTGAATAAATATAAATTGTGATAATATAAATCAGTGAGCAGGCTATCACCCAGTTACGCAATAATATGTTGTTGCTGAAAAGCACGGACTAAGCAAATCTAGCTAAAGGGTCCAGGGTATATATACCGGCCTCTGAGAACGCCTTTTCGGACGAGTCTGAACACTATCATTTGCAAGTACTTTCACGCTAAACAAACTTGTAAATAAATTAAAAAAGTCTTTGAATATTTTTTTATTTTTTATTTAAATTTAAATAAAAAGACATAAATATTGTGTAATATAACTCATTTGACTTAAACCTGACTTCGAGTTTAAAAATACGCCCACAAATTTTTTTTTGCAGTCGGTAGTCTCCTTAACAACAGAATTCTACACAAATAAATACTTAGACAATTTGTTTACCCACGCGACGATACCGGGACCCGTATGATATATATAAAGTAAATACAAATTAATAATAAGTTTATCCCGCGTGCCACGACTGTCACTGCCAGGAACTAGGGCTACAAAGGTAAATCGTTTTCACGTAGTGTACCCTAGCAACATCATAGACGGCTAAAGAAATACCATTATTGGCTGCTTGTACTGTTTTTCGATTTCACAGCTATCATGAACACCATGAACACCGAAGACGAAATCAGTCCTTCTCAGAGCTATCTGATCCGAGATGTTGGCCGTTAGCTAAACATCTTTTAACTTAATATTGAAGGTATTAGTCTAGAAAAAAGCTACTATCTATCTCGCTTACTACAGGAACTTAAATGGAAGAGATTGATAGAAGAAAAATAATCGACTAGGAGAGAGGAAGATAAAGTTAAGCCACTAGAACAGTTTGATACTAATCGATCCATGCACTAGGATACTTGAGGTATACTATAGTCTACACATAGTAGTGGAAAGATTGGATTAAGAGTCGATATTAGTTGCTCAACAGGTTCAAAAAAAAAAAAACCGGAGCATTAGGAGAAAGATAAACTGTATCAATGATTACGTTAATTTAGTCTAGAGTAAAGATGACATATTGCTCAACGTCAAAAATATTGAAGGAAATTTGTGGTGTTAAGATACATTTTAATAGCAAAAAGAATACCTCTACCACGAGAGAAATTACTATTAGAAGAATTTCAAGTTTGACGAAAGATAATGAACCCATAAAAACCTTATTCGGAGCTGGAGATATCAGGAGAAAGCCAATGAGTGAACCAGTTAATGAGCGCAGAAAAGGAAGGAAGAGATGATCTAACGTTAAATAGCTTAGTTCTAAAGCCACAGACATTTTGGTAAACGATAGAGAGGTTACTATTTACAGAAGTTTTAAGAATTTAACTATCAATAGCAGTAGAAGTAGATTGAATATAACAAGAGCATAACTTTAGAATTAATAAACACTTTAAAATGCTGACAGAAAAGATGTAAAGATATGCTGATGAAGGCGATTGTGGAAGAAATCCAGACATTAGAACTAATGCATGTTGACTGCATGAACCTGTGAAGGAAGCTTGTTTTTTGAAAAATTAATTTGTAGTAATAATGTGCCCACCTAAAATTGGCCTACCTAGTAAATATTTTCTGGTTACGCGTCTATGTGTACAATTAAAATAAGGATATGAATATATGAACACATAAAATAAAATTAAATATAGATATCTATATAAATAATCATTAATAGATCCACACTTAATCTAGATCTAATTTATTTACGATTTCATTTAAATTTATCCAGTTATTTAAATTATTTACTACCCAAAATATGGATATTTTTTAATATTAAATCCACTGGTAATACATTAAATGATTCGAAATTTATACGTATTAGTCGAACCTTGAAAAGAAAATTATATTAACATAAAACTATTTTTTTTTTATGGATTAATGGTGGTTTTAGAATATTAACACTAAACTTTACATTATTATAAATATTTGAGAAAAATGGGAAATATATTCCTTTCATCCTCCTCGTTTGACCGCTCCAGTGTAATATATATATAAACTACTAATATATTATATTCACTTTTAAATAATTCGAAAGTGAAGTTCTATATCTCCCTTCGTCGCCTAGATCCGGTCCTTTAAACGGAACCATTATAGATAAAATATTGTTTTTCATATAGGCATAGGATCCATACGGTGGATAGTGCTTTTTGGCTAATCGTTCTTCAATTATCATCAATTCTTCTCGTGGAAATCCTATCAACACGAAACCTTGGAGCATAATATTTGACTTCATATAAGCCAGTACACAGTCGATGAGACAATACTTCGGTATCGGTTTACCGTTGTAAATATTGACGAACACAATTTTTCCGCATTGTATGCGTTCTGAATCGTAATGCTTGATGATTTTTTCTGGCGTTTGTGTTTGTTTCGTTTGGTCAAAATCATTAAGTGTTTTGATATTCATATTCAGGCTATGTTCTATGGCATTTTTGAAATTTTCTGTAGATCAAAGGTAACAGAATTGTAAAATAAAATCGATTTTATGCAAATATTTAATTTTAGAATTTTTTTAGTATTAGGTTATTTATAATTCAGGATATTTATCGTCCTTACTTGATCATCTGTCATTAATATATTGGGTGCGTTCGTGTAATATGCTTAGACGCTTACGGTACTTATGCCAACTCTCACGCTTATGAATTAAACATTAGTGAATTATGGTTTATTAAGACATATAGCTAAATGCTAGGTGGATTACAAGACGAACGCAAATATAAGCATATTGATTATACGATTATCGCAGTTATCAGCTGTTAATTGTTATCACTAGTTATTATAATTGCAACGACTAACAATGTTATTTTAAAAATTATTAAAATGTTATGTATTTCAAACATTTTTATTTCTATAAATTTATATAAATCGTAGTCTAAACCGCGTGGTCGTATTTTTCAAAGAAAAATAATTTATTATTGGGTGAAAATATAGTCAAAGAATTATCACTTATTTCAATGTATAGGTATAAGAAATTATCATTTGATTAACTTATGAGCGTTTGCTGCCCTACCTCGATGATATAAGTGTTTGTGAGCTCGAATGGATGACGTAGCGCTCGGATTCAGTAACATCATGGTTGTAGTTTAAGCGCTATCAAACGCCAAACCGAACGGTACGGTGGCGCTGAAAATCACTTAGAAGCGTTTAAGCGAGCTACATGAACGCACCCCATTATATCATCAATTTATACCTTCCTCTCTTTATGAAAACTCTGTAAATTAAACGGTTAAACAATAAAGTAAAAACAAAATTATTAAATGGTTAAAATTCGTAAATAAATATACAAATAAATAATAAAATAAAAAATAATACGCCGCCGTCATCTGAAAACGCGACTGAATATGAAATAATAAATGAAGGAATACATTGAGAAAAAATTATAAAAATGTTTTCTATATAAAACAACCATTTGTATAATTTTTTCTTTTTTGAAGTATTCCTTCATTTGTTTTTTCATATTCAGTCGCGTTATACTTTTTTACTTTGTAATTTTATCTGACGAGGAATTTTTAATTTGAAACCGGTCGTACAATACACATAACATACTACTCCAGGAGATGCATTAATTAATTAATTTATATATTTCAAAAAATAAAAATAAAAAATTTATACATTTCAGATCTTTTAGATTAAAATGCCATTTGTCGAAAATATTATACAAAAGAAATATTTAATCAGTCAATATATTTTAAATATTAAAAAATGCACGGATATATTAGATAAATACACCTTAAATATTGTTGAAGTTACACGGCAAGATTTTGTAACACAATACAAATAATAATTTAGTGCACTGCAGAGTAGTATAGAAATAAAAAGCAAGATAAGTTATTGAAAACTATTTATGCGTATTTGTTAATTTTTCATTGTAGTTGTCGGGTAAAATTGTATATTCTAATTTTAGAAGTACGGAGTCTCGTGATTTTTAGAGAATGTACAAATAAACGTTTTTAGTAATTTACGGCATTTTAGTTGAAGATGAGTAGGGGGCCAATTCTTGAATCACTGTGATAATTTATCTCGCGTTATATTCATCACACAGTATTGCTTATTACACAAATATCGAAATTATCGTATATTGGAATTCTGGAATTCATTTTTGAAAATTTACCTTGATAAAAATAATGATAACTTATCCCTAGGCATCATGCTAGTGAAGTTGGTTATCACGGTTATTTCATCATGTCATAATGTATGTACATACACGATTAAAAAATGTTGTATTTTATTTAGTACCTACTTAATTACAGCTTACTTGTTATATTTTTATTCATTGGATTATTTTCAATATTGTAATAATATAAAACATTAAAATACCTTATGATAATAATGGTTGAGTTTTATCTAGCTGCATTAGAAAATCTAGAGCGACAAAAAAATTATCTAAATTATAGAGAATTCCATCAAGAAGAAAGGTTTGGTGCTTTTTAATTGCCAGATAATATTTATATTAAAAATTATAGATTAAATTAAAATTTAGTGAGATATGTAAAAAACATACTTATTTCATGTATGAAAGAATCAACAAGAAAATCTGTTTTAAATGTACAGAAGAAAATAAATACATCCTACATTTCTATCTCTAACAATAATTGTAGGTACACATTAATCTATGTGTTCATTTGCTTACTATAATTTAGGTATTTATAGGTTTGAATTTCTTTGCTACCAGTATCCCGTTGGAAATAGTCATCCATCGTTTTCCATTTTAAATTGGTAGGTAATAAAGATAGCTACATAGAAAAGTAAGGTAAATAGGTACAAGAAACAAGAATTTATTATTTTGAAGAATTCATGATCTCTATAATAATAACATGAATTAGTGAACTCAGTTAAAGGATAGATAATACTAATAAAATGATAATACTGAGTAAAAATTTAATAAATTATCATAACATTAGTATATTATCACATACCACGTTTTATATTTTCGTTTCTGGTTCAAGAATCGATACAGTTAATAATAAATTATCGTGCGTGGTATATAAATGGATAGTTATTAAATACGATAAATTATTACAGTGATTCAAGAATTGACCCTCTGAATTCTTTACTATGAAAAATTATTACTATCTAGATCCAATGTAGGAATATTATTATTTTCTTCCAATATTTTGATCAATTCCTTATTATCGGTTTCTCGACAGTATGCGTATAAACAATACCGTAGTGCTGTTTCCATTAAGATGGGAAGTATATTCCGAGAGACGAGTGCGTCACAGAGTCTGTCAGTTGAAGACTTGCCAATTTCACCGTTAAAAACCCCCTTGACCGGGCTTAATGTTATGGAATCATCGATATCCACCAACGATGCTGGTAGAGCATACAGCGAAGTTAATACGTCGTAAACGTAGAACCCGAGAATGCGGGAACTACGAAAAGGATCGTATTTGTTTTTTAAGTTAAGTCCGTGTTCAGACCAGCTTTCGACACTTTGCAAATATTGCTTGAGGTCTTTGCGATTGAGTATGGTTTGGGTTTTCAGTTCCTCATCAGAACGCGGTTTATTATCGTACACAAATTGAGGGTCTAGTAAAAGGCCAAGTTTATCGTCTAGTCCGTTTAAAAGCGGTCTCCCTTCAACGAACATTTCGATCCAATTGTCCCACATATATTTAGCGATTACGTTACCATCATGCTGTTTATTATGGCAGCCGATTTTGACACTGAGATCGACTAGATCGCAAACTATGGTTTTCATTATTTTTGTATTTTCAATATTCGTTTGTCGCATATTTCTTTCTATTGACTGCGTTTATGCGTAGATATTAAAAACAAAATTAATATGAAATTAAATCCAACCAAAATGAGAACACATGAGTTCCGTTACGAATAAAAATATAATACACCTTTCAAGCGAAATTTGTTGTTAAAATATGTTTATTAAAACTAATTTTAAAATATTTCAAACGATTAAAGCGATGCAAGATCTCATACCTCAGCTTTCAGGGACTAGCAAATTCGGAGATGGACTCGCAAATTCTAGCAAATTAAGACAAACATTTTGATATCATTTTCGATTGTTTGTGATAAGGTGGGTGGGCTACCTGAAGTTGGTCCACCCATGAAATGAAAAGTAATGACTAGCAAATTCGGAAAATGGACTCGTAAATTCTAGAAAATTACTTGCAAAATGTCGGAATACATGTTGAACAGATTGGGTGAAATCCGTGTGCTGACTTCATAGCCGTTGAAATATTTTTCTGGGGAAATAAACCAAATAAAAAAAAAAGCTGTATGGAATAAGTGAAATGACTATGTTCGAAGCAGAATGAAAATGATCAGAAATCAAAGTTGTGGTGTGGTATCCTACAAGTCCAATTGTATGGAAAATTGCACACCCCTCTGTAGTAAACGCAGAAGAAACAATATTCTGTGTATCTGAAATAACAGATCGTCACAACAGCGTTAGGAGTTAAGAATCTACCTGATTATCGATAGCCATTTCGGTGGACGCTCAATTTATAAATAATGTGTTTTTTTTTATACAAATAAATATCACGGAAATTAGGGAATATTCTTACCTTGTTTACAAGGCCATAAAGTATATATACTAAATTCCTAGTTAGTAAATATATTTAATACACTAATAAAGTTTATGCAGGAATTATCAACATATTATTATAAAGTTTTAGTTTTATTTAATATTGTGCATTGTGCAATTATTTTCCAAGAAACTAAAAAAAAAAAAAAACTGGATTTTTATAATATAATAATAGCGGTACATGATTTGTGTGTATATTTTTATTCGGGACGCATTTGATGTGATGTGTTCCGAACAAATAGTTTCCTATAAAATGCAAACAAGTCATAACTAACCTCTTCTTTTATTTGTGAACGTAATTCATCGCTAATTTTCATGTAATCATCGTGCTCTACGTTATATTCGTTGATAAATTGCAATTCATTTTTGACAAAAATCGCGTTACGTTTTTTAATAATAAACCGAGCGTTAATGATTTTATCTAACATTAACTGTTCGTATTTTGACATGTAAATTAGCTTGTCTGGCATGGATTTGTTTCGCAAAACTTCTTGGTTACGACGATATTTTACGTCCGAATTGTTATTCAGTGTTTCCGTTCTCCATGAATCGTAAATTTTTGAGTGTTGTTCACGAAATTTGATGTCCGATAAGAATCTTCTCATGACATACATAAATAAATTAATAGTATTTTAATTAGGTTAAAACACAAATATACTGTATATCAATAAGATATGTATGATAATAAGATATGATAAGATCTGTACAATAATATTAATTTGTACATAGTACAAACACTATTAGGTATAGCACACCAATTTGTTTATAATTTAATACGAACAAATTTGAATTACCGACCTTTATAAATTTACTCGTTACCTACCTAATATCAGTCTGGTCACCTCTAGTTGACCAGCTTTTCAACTTTTCGGGTAAACTATGTTCGAAATTGTTTATTTCGCCATACAACGCAGTTAAATTTTCTTCATTAGATGTTTCAAAAAACGATAATGCATTTTGATCAATATATTTATCATCATAGTAAAACGGCATAAGTATACCGTGTTTTGGTTTGGGAGTGTAAATTTGTTCCCGTGTATCTGATATGCCTAAGAAATCAAAGCTCCCGAAGGAATTATATACTTGAATAGCATGTCTAGTTAAATTTAAATTATTCGGGCTCTCCAGAGTAAAACACAATCTGTAAAGAAATGCAAAAGTGACCGACCTTTGTCCTGATATTATACCGTTAACAGTGTCAGAGTCTAACGAAATTTTTATAGCGTTCAACCATACGCTGACGTATCGGAAATTAGATATTTTTGTTTCTTCGTCTTTTCCATCGACCAACAACAAAACATCACTAGAATTTACGACGTTATAACTTTGAAGTATTTTTCCAATCAAAAACCCGTTTTGAAACTTGCCACAAATGTTATCGGGATGAAAAGGACGAACTTCTAAACCCAATTGATGTATGAGCCATTCTTTTAACACATCACTCATGGTTTCTATTATATTATATTTATAGTACACAAGTGTAATTTTAAACGAATGAATACAATTATATTATTATTGTAACGAAAAAATAACAGTGATAAATAATAAAATTAATACCATAGCAACTTACTTAAGATTTAAGATTTATTATATATACATAATATTGCATATATTACTTGAAACAACATTCAATAATCAAAATTTAATTTTAGATTTAGAGCGGAGCGAAGGGGTTACAGTTCACATCCCTGTAAAACATTTCCCAATCATTTAATTATTCATAAACTAACAATAATATTAACAATTTTTTATAATTCAACAGGTATTTACAGTTATATGTTTACTTGATATTTGTATGATATATTTAATTTCGTAAATATAATTTAAAATAAATGTAAATTTACAAGAGGCCTCTAAAAATTTGTACATATTTATTTACCTACTATTTTATCAGAACGTGGCCCTCCGTAATATACAATGATCGATTAGTATTTGGTGAATATTACCACCTATATTCCTATGTTCCATATTGTGTTCAATTTAAATTAAATTAAGCAAGACACTGTGTCCGCGTATCGCGCGATTAAAAACAAACTAATTTGATTTTCAAATGTGAGCGAGCGACGGGACAAATTCGTTCAGTCGTCCTATCTGCATTTTCGATTTACGTTGGGCATTTCCATCTATTTTTATAGATTTGATTACTTCAGTCGTCGCATTGGTCGTGTCACGACGCGAATTTCGCGTTCGGTGCGTCACGTAGGATACGGCGTAAGCTATAAATAAATAGAATATTATAGATAACATTATTATAGTGTAATCGAATGAGTTATATTTTATATAAGTTATTTGTAAAAAAAATTGGGATTCCCGAAATAATTATTGTAACCGCTACTCGTGGTCTATCGCCCTGCACCCATATAGCCGTTTCCCGGCATTGCCCGTCCAGCTGTCCGAGTGTTTTCATAGTCTCATTGTGTTATATTTTTAATATTTACCTAATTTTAAAAATTATGTCAACGCCAAGACAATATTTAAGCGGAGCTGCAAAAAGAAAACGGAAAATACATAAAGAAAACGAAAACAAAAAAATGGCTGGAATAATGGGCCAATTTTTTTAAAAAAAAACTGGTAAGTACTAATTACAAATTAGGTAGGTAAATGGTAAATTATTAACAAATAGCGACATGGAGTTTACAAAAATTATAATAATATACGTAAAAAATAGAGAAATGCTAAGAACATTAAACTAAACACTAAACACATAGGTATTAATAAACTAAGTACTAAAATTTATTAATTATTTAATAATGCTTAATATGATTCCATTACATAAAGTTTAGACTAACAAATAAAAATTGAATAACTAAGCTGTAAGGCCCAGTTTTTGAACATTTAATATTTTATTTTTTATTTTTATTATTGTGATCTACCTAATATAAATGTAGGTATATTTTATTATTTTAATTTTTAGTTGATGATATTTTAACTGATGCAAGTAATAGTTATTTCACTTTAGTCACAGAATGTACTTCAGTTAATTCAAATTAATTAAACTTTTTGTTTTTGCAAGATACTTATTCTAACATTTATTATTATTATTTTCGTTTTAAATTGTTTATTATTTGATTGAGTTTTAAAATTAAAAGGATTAGGTTAGTTTAGGTATAAGATAAATTATTGTTTAGATCTTTACTTATTTTAGCTAGTTGTGATGTTTCTGTATTCCTGATCCATTATGTTCTGTATTCCTGAAAATAATGGATCAGTACAAGAACAAGAACCTCATGTAAATCGGAGTGAAAATGTTGACCAAGAGATTGACCAAACCACTTTTAGGAGTAGGTGCTTACTAGTATTAAATTACATCCACAACAATTGAAGCTTTTTTATTATATTTAAAAAACTCAAACTACAAAAACAACAAAATTGCAATCAATTCATTGTTCTATTTGTGATCAAAATAATTTGTTTTTTTCATAGATGCGACTGTAGAATATTTAGTTGATAAATTCAATTTAGAATTGTTGTACCCTACCGACCGAGGACATTTTAATGAAGATGTATCAGATTCTCTTAAACGAAGTATTTTATTATTTGGCTCATGTAAACCTACAATTGAATTTGAGAGGGATCATAAAAATAGATCTTTTTTATAGAGCTATTATAATATGATTACTAAGACTGGTTCCAAAATTCCACGTTCTTGGCTATGTTATTCTGTAATTTAAAAAAAAAGCTTATTTGTGAGTCATGTTGGTTATTTGCAAACAGAAATAATTCAAACTACAGATCTGAATGGATATCTGGTATAGATGATTGGCAACATTTATTATATTTAATAACTCGTCATGAAAAATCTCTACAACATATTGAAGCCACAACAGTAAGAGAAAATTGAGTTAAAAATACTACAATTGATAAAAATATAGAACAACATATATCTAAAGAAGCTGAATATTGGCGAAATATTCTACGTCGTATTATAAAAGTTCTATTAACCCTCACAGCAGGAAACACTGCTTTGAGAGGGAATGAAGGTAAGAAAAGCGATTATAAGCCTGAAGAGTTTGAAGGTAATTTTATGCGAAAAATTCGTCTTTTAGCTGATTTTGACCCATTACTTCATGAACTTTTAAATGATTCTACCAAACATATTAAATATTTAAGTTGGAAAGTTCAAAATGAGTTGATCGACATTTTATCTGAAAACTTATGTCATATCATATGTGAAGAAATAATTAGTTGTTCCTTCTTCTCAATCAACTCAAGACATAACAAAAATCGACCAAGTGAGTGTCATTATACGATATGTGATTGTTGACTATGAAACACATACAATAAATATTAAAGAATCATTTTTAAGATTTTATGCTTTAGAACACCATGAATCAATGGATTATGCGCATTTGATACAAAATGTTTTACACAAACATAATATAAAAATTCAAAACTGTAGAGGACAAGGGTATGACGGAACATCGGTTATGAGTGGTCAATACTCAGGAGTCCAAAAGAGAATAAATTATACTGTTCCAACTGCATCATTTGTCCACTGCTATGCCCACAACTTAATCTTCGTGATATCTGATGCCTCTAAAATTTCACCAAGCATATCAACATTTTTTGAAACTCTACAGAATGTTTTTAATTTCTTTAGCTCAAGTGGCCCAAGATGGGCGTCATTAGCATTAGGAGATAACACAGCATCAAAAATTAGGAGAAGAGTATTAAAAAAAGTGTGCTCTACCTAGTGTGAATCTAGGCATACTGCAGTATTTGCATTAAAAGAGCGGTTTATCGATGTAATCAAATGTTTAACTATAATGTCACTTACAAGTGGTAAAAAAGATGAATCTGATATGAGTAAAGCACTTAAAAATAAGAAATAATCAAGTAAATTTGTATTAATTTTATTTATTTGGGAATATATTTTAAGATATTTAAATACTGTATCTAAGATTTTACAAAGTACGGATATTTCATTAGAAAATGCATCTATGCTTCTAGATAAAGCTATTCAAAATATGCAACATTTACGAAATTACTACAGCACAATATATTTGGAATCAAAACGATTATGCGATGAATGGGAATTGTTATTTCTTTCCATTCTTCGAGACCTAAATTTTGTAAAAGAGTATTTGGAGAGGTTGACGATGATCGCAGATTTGATATTTCTAAAGATACATTTAGGATTAAGGTATTTTTATCAGTTATA